ACCTGGAGTACTGTGTTCAGATGTGGAGCACCCAACATAAAAAAAGACATGGACCTCTTGGAGAGAGTCCAGAGGAGAGCCACAAAATTAATCAGAGGGCTGGAGCACCTCCCCTATGAGGACAGGCTGAAAGAGTTGGGGTTGTTCAGCCTGGAGAAAAGAAGGCTCCAAGGAGACCTTATAGCAGCCTTCCAGTACCTGAAGGGGACCTACAGGAGAGATGGGGAGGCACTCTTTATCAGGGAGTGCAGTGAGAGGACAAGGGGTAATGGTTGTAAGCTGAAAGAGGGTAGATTTAGACTAGACATTAGGAAGAAATTTTTCACTGTGAGGGTGGTGAGACACTGGAACAGGTTGCCTAGGGAAGTTGTGGATGCCCCATCCCTGGAAGTGTTCAAGGCCAGGCTGGATGAGGCTTTGAGCAACGTGGTCTAGTGGAGGGTGTCACTGCCCATGGCAGGGGGGGTGAAACTAGTTTATCTTTAAGGTCCCTTGCAACACAAACCATTCTGTGATCCTATGATATTTATTGATAGAGATATTTAATGACTAGCTTGTCATTATATCTTTATGATAGTCACTATAATGACTTCATGAACCAAGACTTGAAGGCTAGTAATTTCTTCATACACATCACTGCCTGCCCTCCTGGAGAACTTCTTGGAAGCTTCAGACCCACTACAGGTGGGACTGAGGGCCTTCTTCTTGGAGTGTGTTACTACTATGGCAGCTGTAACACTGCATCCTAAGCCTGTTTTATTAGTTTATCAGGGTCCTGTGTTGTATTTGGCTTCCAGGAATTGTAGATTAAGTACCAAAGCCTTCTGTGTGTGCTCTGGAGTTTAGTCTGTTCTCTCAGAGCTTTTCACCATAGGGTGCTGCTTGCCAGCCTATAAGCTTAGCCAAGCTGTAGATGGCTCTTGACTTGCTGATAGTTGCTTTTAACACAAACTTGTCTACCTGAGAAGTAAGGACCTCTGTAGCTCTAGACTGCTGCAGCTGTACTGTTTGTCAAAGTCAATAACTCTTGAAATGGCTTTTCCTGTAGTTGTATGTCTAAAACTGACTACAACAGGATGATGGTCAGATGTAAACAGTGAGTTCCATTGGAGGTAATGGTAGCCTTACCTTATGCTTGCCTCACTGACTTACTATTTGCATCCTGTTTAAAATATGTAGTTTTAGCTATAGAAGCTTTCTCCAGGTTCAGTGCTGGAGTTCGTGGAAAATAGATGGGTGCAAAATGTTTTTCCTCTCATGAGACTGCCAGAGAGTTTGGGTAAACTTTGCACTTTTGAGGAAATATGATTAGGACTTGCTTTGCGCTTCTGAAATCTTGTGCTACAGGCTTTTTAGCAAAAACATAGCAGGCTTAGCACAAATAGAACCACTTTCACTGTGGAGGTAACAGCAGTTCTAAGCTGGTTGTGCCCCATTACCCTTGGATTCACAATAAGCTCTCCTGTGTGGAGACTACATAGTCCTTTAAGCTCTTGCTTTTCCAGTTATCTCAAATTTACTGTTACACCATTTAGGAAAGTTTGGCTTGCTGCTCTCTGAACTTCTACTAAAGCAAGCTGTAAACTAGTACATGACCTAAAATCTACATTCTTTTTCAGGCTGAGCCTCTAGTTGTTGATCTTAAGGACCTCTTCCAATTAATATATAATATGAAGAAGAAGGAAGAAGATAAGAAAAAGGCAAGTAAAATTGTAGAAACTGCATTAGTCTGCATAGAAATAAAGCTTGCTTTAGCTTTGGTTTGGCTTTTGGGCTCTTGTAAGACTTAACACTAAGGTCTGTCTAGATCCAGGATCACTTGAAACTATTGGTTGGTAGTTGTACCAGTAGTTTGATTACCTCCTAGATCTGGTAAGCTTGCCAAAGAGAGAGATTTTGGATATTCTACATGATGTCTAGGTACTAAAAGCCTTCTTTTCTTCTTTAGAGTGAAGAAGCAAGTAAGACTGAGGTAAGTCACTCCAACTCAGCCTCCCTTGTTTAGGTATGCTGCTGCAACACAACTAGCTTTAACTTCACGGCCAGCTTTATAGAGGCAATGTCAGATGCCCAGTTACACTGAAGTGGGAGTAAAAGGGGTCCACAGAACTAATACTGTGTAGTGATCTCCCTCATACTTCCTCTTCCCATCACTTGCTCTTTGAAGCCTGCAAATCCCTTGCTTAATGCAAGTTCTCATATTCCAATTATTGCTGACATTGTTACTGTCATCTATTACAGAACGGTAGCGAAGCACCACCTGCTGATCATGCTGACAAAATGAAACTGGTAGGTTAAATTTTGGAACTTTATGCTGATACTGTTAAGAAGTTTATAACTGACTGTCTCCACATTGTGTGAGAAATGTGGTTTTTATAGATGTGTTTACAGTAGATCTGCGTAATGCTTGGTTCTTGTTCTTACAATTCTTTTGTAAGAACTCTAATGGATACCAATTCTTTTAATATTTCTGTCTTCAAGGGAGTTGACCAGATGGACTTGTTTGGGGATATGTCAACACCTCCTGATATGAATAGTCCCACAGTAAGTAGAATTTAGCTTAGCTGTCTAGGCTCTTGCTTTGAGAGCAAACTTAGTCCTCATAATAAGATGTGCTTTTACTTTGTTAGTCCTGGTTTCACTGAGATATCTGTCTAGCTATCACTGGTGTATTAGTCCTAGGGCTATAACAGTATCTACTTACTAAGTAAAGTAGCTAATGTCATTCTTATCCAACAGAGTTCACTCGAAGATGCATAAGAGATAATCCTGTATTGTTAGTCACAAAATCACAGAATGGTTTGGGTTGCAAGGGACCTAAAAGGTCATCTAGTTCTGACCCCCATGCCATGGGCAGGGACACATCCCTCTAGAGACCAGGTTGCTCAAAGACTCATTCAGCCTGGCCTTGAACACCTCCAGGGATGGGGCATCCACAACTTCCCTGGGCAACCTGTTCCAGTGCCTCACCACCCTCACAATAAAAAATTTCTTCTAATATCTAATCTAAATCTCCCCTCTTTCAGCTTATAACCATCACCCCTCGTCCTATCACTACACTGCTGACAAAGCGTGCCTCCCCATCTCTCCTGTAGGCCCCCTGCAGGTACTGGAAGTCTCCCCAGAGCCTTCTCTTCCCTAGGCTGAACAACCCCAACTCTCTCAGCCTCTCCTCATATGGGGAGTGCTCCAGTCCCCTAATCATCTTCATGTCCCTCCTCTGGACCCATGCAAGCAGGTTGATGTCTGTCTTATGCTGTTGGCACCAGAGCTGGATGCAATACTCCAGGTGGGGTCACACAAAAGCAGAGTAGAGGGTGAGAATCACCTCCCTCAACCTGCTGGTCATGCTTTGTTGCAGCCCAAGATATGGTTGGCTTTCTGGGCTGTGAGTGCACATTACCAACTCATTCAGTTTTCTATCCACCAGTACCCCTAAGTGTTTATCCACAGGGCTGCTCTCAATCCACTCCTTACTCAGCCTGTATCCATGTTTGGGATTGCCCTGACCCAGGTGCTGCACCTTGCACTTGACCTTGAACTTCATGAATTTTGCCTGGGCCCACCTCTCTAGTAAGATGTCTTAGAAATATGTAGTAGCAGTATCTGCTTCTGCTATTATGAGAGCTATTAAAGAAATTCTGCTGGAGACTTTCAAAGCTGAAGCTCATTTTATGTACAAGTGAATACTTTAGTCCATCAGCGTGGACTCCTGGCCATTCTAGATGGGTAGCCCTAGCTCAAGATGTGGGCCTAACTCCACAAACTGTGTATCAACCTTGTCATAGATCAATATGACCCCAAAATTCTACCAGTTTATTCTGGCACTGTAAGCCACCATCAGCCATGATACAATTCATACTGTCAATCCAGCTAGTGATTCAATTGCAGTCAGCCGTGCTTGCCTTAATATATTATCAGATGAAGTTTTAGTGCTACTTCAGTGACCTTGAATAATTAGTAATGTACTGGATACTAGGATTTCTCCTGTTGCTGATGTTGTCCTTGAGCTTGTGTACTATGCAGGAAGTCCTACATAAAACTAACTTTATTTTTCTTTCTGGACACATAGGAAGCTAAAGAGATTCTCTTAGTGGATCTAAATTCTGAAATTGAGACCAAACAGACTTTTACAAAAGAGGATCTCTTCTTGAATGGCACCACAACCTCTCTTCCACAACCAAAACCACAGCCACCCTTCTTGCCTGAGAGTTCTTTTTCTACCAATCTCAGCTTCTTTCCCACACCTAATCCAGATCCTTTCAGTGATGATCCTTTCACACAGCCAGCCCAATCTGCACCATCTTCATTTGATTCTCTAAAATCTGCTGATCAGAAGAAGGCAAGTCTGAGTACCTTTACACCAGTGGGTAATGGTGTTTCAAATGGTGATGTTGACTACTTTGGTAAACAGTTTGACCAGATTTCTAACAGAACTGGCAAACAAGAAGCATTAACAAGCCAGTGGCCACTTGAGAGTAAGTTGCCTGCAGCAAGAACGCCAAATGGGGTACCAGAGAGAGAACAGAATGGCTTTCCTAAAGCCCCATCAAACCAGTTTGTGGAACGTCCTTCCAAAGGAGTATCTCTGCAGAATGGAGTAAAGCTAGATTCTGAAAGCAATATCCAGCTTATGTCACATGAGTCTATAACAATTAGCCCACCACCTCAAAGTACCAAGCCAGGAAGAGGAAGGAGGACTGTCAAGGTGAACAATGTTCAAGTAATTAATGGTGATATGCATGCTGTTACTTAAAGAAGCTGAGTGAAGGAAGGTTTTCTTTCTTCATACTGTAACTGCCCAAACAGCTTCACAACACAACTACTTCTCTTCTACCTGCCATGCTTACTCTAACCTCTCTGCAGCCATGGTACATTCTAACATTCATGAATGCTTCATAGTAGCTATGGTCACTAAATTATATACTCTCTTCCTTAATGCTGCCATACTTCTGTAAAGGTCTGGTAAGTATGCTGCTATGTATATTGACACTTGATATAATGCTAGAACTTGCTATGATAGCTGTATGCCCATCAGCCTGTGGTTTAATAACAGGGAGGTAATAGTACTAACTTAAATAAATCTATGTAGCTTCTCAGTACCTGCCTACTGAAGGCAATCTCAAAGACTTGTCTCAGTTAGACACAGAGTGGCTCTGAGTCAGCTGCATTCATCTTGCACTCAAATGATGCAAAACTGCTGCTGACCTCGCTGCCACTGCAGGGGTCACTGCAGGCTAAGAAGAAATCCTTGGCGGGGGTGGAGGGGGGAGGGACTGGC